GGGTCCTGGTACACAGCCCCCTGGAACTCACCCTCCATCTCAAGGCGCATGTAGTCCCTGGAAGGAGAGGGGTGGGATCTTAGCAGCAGGTGCCTGTTCCGTCCCCCCACTCCCCCGCCTGTCAGCTCCACACTCACTCTAGTTAGTCAGAGCCCCAAGTATGCACCTGTGATCTTCTATCAAGTCCCCGCCCCAGCGAAACCCAGCCCACCTTCCTCTCCTGATCACACCGCAGGGGCAAGCGCTACCCCAGGGCCAGGAGTCGGAGCCATGAAGTCACAGCCCGAGAGCACGCGCCTCCAGTCCCTGTGACGGCTTCCCCCAGAGCCGGGACTCTCCCCCCAGGGTACCAAGCACTGCTGCGAGGCGCACTGCTGCGAGGCGCACTGCTAGCCCCCACAGCCCTGCGAGAGCCACGTACCCCTGACAGGGCCCTCGGGGCATGGCAGGGGGCTCACCTGGCCGTCTGGTGCCCCACGAAGAGCAGCAGCAGGGTCAGGCCGTACAGGTACAGTCTCACCAGGGATCTGACTGGAAGCAGCAGCACCACCACACACAACACGTGGCCTGGGAAAGGGAGAGAACAGGTCAGCCAGCCATGCCTGCCGTCTCCCTTCACTGCGCTGCCCACCCATGCCCGAGGGCACAGCCGGAAATGGCACCCAGCCTTTAGCGCTAGCCCCGTGGGCGCTCCGGTCTCTCCTCTTCAAGCCTTTCCTTGGAGTCTCTCTGCCCCGGCCCCCATCCTCTTACCTTAGCGACGAAAGGAGAAACCAGTTCAAAGTCAGCCCCGTGTATTAAGATACTGCGCTTTCCCAACCTGCTCCATCGATCCGCTACACGCAGCGGGGGCTTCGCCCACCACTGAAATGCAGCCACCTCTGGAGCAGCTGCTGAACAGCGACACTGAACAACAGGAAGGGGCTATCACACATTGCAGAGGTGCTCTAGTGTGGGTCATCCAGCAGGCCAGGAGGGGGCAGCTGCCTCTCTCCTGTAGGCCCTCGGGGCTCTGACCAGCCTCCAGCAGCCTGGGCCCAAGGTCTCGCACCCGACAAAGTCCCCGCCCTGCAACCCTAACTCACAGAGCAAAGCCTAAAGACACTGGAGGCCACCGGTCTGTCTGCGGCAGGGTGAGTCGTTCTGTACCTGGCCTTGCAAAGCCAGGCCCGGAATAGTGCGTTCAGGCGTGGGCACCTCAGCGTGTGATTCCCTTACCCGCTCTGGGCCTCACTTCCTCTCTCTGGCAGCCTTGGACTCAAATCCTTTCTCCACGCAGGAGCCAACACTGGA